TAAATCTCATTCACGAGGAACAGGCGTAGTATTGATCTAAAAGTCAATACTACACCTGTTCCTCGTGAATGAGATTTAACTACTCATTGGGAAGGATTGGATTAATATTCCAGCTCCACTCAATATTGCACGCAGAAAACTGCTTTGTTGTATTTTCAAACCTCATTCAAGAAAGGGGTGGTGCCAATCTGTCGCGGTGCCAAGCTGACGGCGGCCGCAGAGGTGCCAATCAGTCGTAACAGTACACGACAGATTGGAACCTGGAGAAAGGGGTGGTGCCAATCTGTCGCGGTGCCAAGCTGACGGCGGTCGCAGAGGTGCCAATCAGTCGTAACAGTACACGACAGATTGGAACCTCTAGAAAGGGGTGGTGCCAATCTGTCGTGGTGCCAAGCTGACGTGGGGTGATATTTCATGGCCTCATGTCAAAGAGGTTCCAATGTGACGCCGGGTGCTAAAACACCATGGTGCCAATCTGTCGTGGTGCCAATCTGACTGCGACTCACGATAGTAAATGCAAATTTTTACAACCTGTTGTAGACTATTTAGGTTATAGGTTGTCGGCTGAAGGTATAAGTCCACGAGAAGGGCTAGTGGAAGCCATCAAGGATGCCCCGGAACCATCAAGTAAGGAGGAGTTGAGATCATACATAGGACTCATTAATTACTATGGTAGATTTATTTCCAATCTCTCTGATAAGCTGAACTGTTTCTATGAGTTGTTGAAAAAGGATGTTCCTTTTGTTTGGTCTAGGAAATGTGCTGAAACTTTTAAACAGAGTAAACACTGGGTGTTATCTTCTGATATCCTTGTACATTATGATGTCAATAAGCCACTAGTGCTTACATGTGATGCAAGCCCTCGAGGCGTGGGGGCGGTGTTGTCCCATTTGATTGATGGCGAAGAGAGGCCTATTGCTTTTGCCTCTAAAACTCTAAGTCAAAGTGAGAAAAATTATTCTCAGCTTCATAGAGAAGCCCTAGCATTAGTATTTCGTGCTAAGAAATTTCATAAGTATATTTACGGGAAAAAACATGTCATATTACAGAGTGACCACCAGCCGTTGGCTACTATCTTTGGCTCAAAGCGAGGAACTCCAAGCCTAGCCGCAGCGCGCCTACAGAGATGGGCCCTGATTTTGGCTTCGTATGACTTCGAAGTGAGATATCGCAAGGCGTCTGATGTGCCACATGCCGATGCCTTATCCCGGTTGCCGTTACCGGCAAGTGATTCACTGGAACTGGAAAACAACTTTATCTCGCACACTCAGGAATGCGTGGAGGTACTAAACTGCTTCAGCACGGTGAGTACCGAATCACCTATCACTTCTAAGGAAATTGCTAAATTCACTGGTACTGATCCTATATTATCTAAAGTAAGAGATTATGTTTGGCACGGCTGGCATGGCGCTGTGGATAAAGAGTTATTGCCTTATGTAAAAAGGAAAGATGAACTTTCTGTGGATAGTAATTGTCTTCTGTGGGGGGCCCGTGTGGTCATTCCGACAAAATTGAGGAATCCAGTTTTAGAATTGCTTCATGATCAACATCCAGGCATTACACGGATGAAGCTGTTATCACGTAGCTATGTGTGGTGGCCCGGTATAGAACAAGGTATTGAAGAAACAGTGTCTTCTTGTTATATTTGTCAGTGTACGAGGAATGCAGCTCCAAAAGTCCCTCTCCAACAGTGGCCCCGTGTGTATGGCAGATGGCAACAGGTGCACATAGATTTCGCTGAAGACACTAATTCTAGGCAACAAATGTTAGTACTAGTAGACAGTTTTTCCAAGTGGATCGAGGTGTTTGTTATGAAATCTACTAGTTCTCTCAAGACCATTGAGCGTCTCCGTTCACTTTTTGCATCGTATGGGCTTCCGGACACTCTAGTATCTGATAATGGCCCTTCTTTTACAAGTTTTGAGTTCAAAGAATTCTTAAAGAAGAATGGAGTAAGGTTTGTCTTATCACCTCCTTATCATCCTGCGTCAAATGGTGCGGCCGAGCGGTGCGTTCAAGAAGTGAAGAAGAACCTGTTGAGACAGGTGTTGAGTGAAGGTGGTACTGGTTCTCTGACTTTGCAACATAAACTTGATAACTTCCTAATGACATACAGAAATACACCTGACACTGTAACCGGACTTAGCCCGGCAGAATTGTTTCTCAACTGGAAACCTAAAACTAGGCTTGCACTTCTCAAACCTAACCTCAACGCTCGTATTGACACGAACCTGGACAGACAGAAGGAGAGTTCGGATAGGCATAGGGGAAGGGCAAGATCCTTTAAAGTTGGAGAGAAAGTGTTCGTCAAAACTGTCAGGCAGGAGAAAATTGATTGGGTACCTGGAAAAGTTCTGGAAGTAAAAAGTTCTGTAATATATCTTGTTAGTGTATTGGGAAAAGTTAGGCGTTGCCATGCTGACCACCTCAGGTCTAGAGTGAACATGGAAGAGGAGGGGATAGCAGTGCCAAGTTGTGAGCCAAGGTCTCCCATGAAACCAGTACTTCCTGAGCGAGGGGAAACTTCAGAGGACAAGGAGAGGCAACAAGTTTCGCCCAGGCGGCAATCTCCATTGAAGGACTCTGAGACTGCAGCGGTCCAGCCAAGACATGAAGACTCACCTGCGGTAGTGCAGTGCAGCCCGCCCAATCTTAGAAGGTCAAAAAGGACAATACAAAAGCCTGAAAAGCTAGACCTTTAAGCTATTCAGGCAGAAGTGAGAAGAGTTTATTTTAGTTTTATGAGAAGAATTTTTAAGTTGGAATCAAGGTTTAATTAATAAAAATGAAAAAAAGAAATTATTATGAAGAGAAAGTTTTATGTTGGAAGAGTATGTTATTTGTGGTCTTACAGCAGTAGTGTGGGCCTAATCTAAATGGTGGCGAGTGTAATATAGTAGCAATAGGACCATATTAGATTATTAGTAACCGGAAACAGATTAAGTTACTGGGTGGCTGCACTGCCTACATCGGCGTGGAGCTCCCTGATTGGCTGCCGATCGGTCAAGGAGTTTTCCGTCTTGATGATCGTCACTTCAAGTCTAGCAAGGTGTGTAATCAGATGTCGCCATGTTTTCTTATCCTTAATCTTAGTAGTTACTACACTTGGCATTAGAATGTTTCCACACTCAGTACGCAACCAACCATGGTAGCTAGAGTATCGTGTCTCCTATGCTTTTTATACAGTGAGTTTTGAAATGAGCGCTGCGATTGAAAATCCACCAGTTGTGAAGTGCATGGTGTGATAAGGATTTTGTTAGCAAAAATTACAAACCAATTGAAATTTATCGCCATTTTTGTGATATGTAGGGCCAAGAAACAATGAGTAAACAAATTTGGCGCCAAGCAACTATCATCCATTCCCAGCGATGAAGACATTGCTCGCTACGCAACACTTTCACATTGACGCTGAACTCCATGCCGGTTTTCACGTCCTCATATCAGTGGTTAACCACGCAAGAGGCAGATTTCTACAAAGAGGGCATTGAAAAGCTTGTACGAGGCACGTTTTTTAAGTAAGTACCGTTTTTAAATTGCTCCGTTCCAGTGCTGCGAATGGCGTTTTGGACACATTCGCTGTGTATGTGCATCAATTGGCAAGCCGTAGCCGGAAATTCGACATCAATCGGCCATGTTTACATCCGGTTTCGAGCATTTAAAATGGTGCCGCCAATTGAGACTGCCGCCGACTGTGAAGTGCGCGCTGTAATTAGATTTTTAAGTGCTAAAGGTGTGAAAGCCATTGAAATTTATTGCCAGATTAGTGAGGTGTATGGCGAGAACATTGTGAGTGGTGGAAGAATGGTTCGCAAGTGGGTAAGGGCATCTAAAGACGGCCCCACCAACGTTCATGATGAGCTACGCATTGGGTACGGGGGACAGTGACGCCGCCCAGTGCGTTGCTCATGATGGACGTTGGTGGGGCCGTCTTTAGATGCCCTTACCCAATTGGGTACCATTCCGGCACTCATAATGTTCTGGCCATACACCTCACTAATCTGTCGATAAATTTCTATGGCTTTCACCCCTTTAACACTTAAAAATCTAATCACAGCGCACACTTCACAGTCGGCGGCAGTCTCAATTGGCGGAACCATTTTGAATGCTCGAAACCGGATGTAAACACGGTCGATTGTTGTGGAATTTCCGGCTAGGGCTTGCCAATGATGCACATATACAGCGAAAGTGTCCAAAATGCCAATCGCAGCGCTGGAACGGAGCAATTTAAAAACGGTACTTCCTTAAAAAACATGCCTCGTACTAAGTGACGATTATTGATTAAATTTAAATGGTGATTATGTAGGAAAATAGCCCTCAAGACTTTAGCTTCAAAATATATATAATATTTTTTTTTCAATTTGTATATAGTTTATTTCAAAACACATTAGTTTACTTTCTGGATAATTCAGTAATTTTCTCAGAGAATTTGTGTTAGGCCTACCTGTAATAATCAGAATAAAACATTTTTTTCATATTGATTTTTCTCGAATGAGCAACACATTTCTTAAATGCTAAAGATCCTTGTACTATGCTAAATCTCCATTTGTAAAGTCTGGATTATGTTTGATAAACAAACAATTAGGCTAATTTTCAATGGCTAGATTTTTGAAACAAGTCTTAACTATACAACTCTGTTATATGGTCTAGAAACAAAACCACTTTAAAGGTAAGGTTATAAAAGGAATAAGCCAAAAGACGTTTGGCATCAAACATTAGGACTTTTAAACATTAAACGATTAGCCTGGTAATTATTTTGTTCAGTGTAAAATTCAGAAATTTAACTTTCGAACTACTGATTTCTACAATGTTTGTTGTTTGGCGTAAAAACTAATTAATAACTACCAACAAGGTAATGGATTAAAACTGAGACCCTGGAGTTGCCAACCTGGCAATCACCTCGGTCCATTGTACAGCTTAACTTTATATGAAAGAGAAAACTAGTGACAATGTTTAACGCTGGAATAGAAAACAACCATTTCAAGTAATGACAATTTACCCACCTCAGAAAATGAGTGATAAATACTATTGAAGTATTTAAACGCTAGGTAGTGGTTGACTAGAAGCAAGATCACAGCAAATATGAATGATGGTGAAGACAGGGAGACATAGGGAAATGTCTGAAGAATCAACAGATGAGCGACCTGAGCAAGCAGTCCGCAAACTATCATGGAAGTGGGCAAATCTTCAAACAGCAAGAATCCCAGGTAGATGCTTAGAGTAGTCTGAAAAAATATACTGTAAATAAATAGGCTAAGAGTAAAGACAGAAAAAATTTAATTTATAATGTTAACTTTGTTTTGGAAAGATTGTTATTCAGTAGGCATTAGTTCCTAAAATACACTTATTTTTAAGTAGGCTTGTAACTTACTTAGTTTAAATATTCCAAGCAAAATAGGTCTATACGGTATATTTAATTTTAAATTCAACTATTTCACTATCAAGGAGAAAAACTCATTCAAATTCCAATGTGATACTCCTGAAGTGTGTGTCACCGCGACAGATATGATTACAGTAATGTTGTGTAGTTTATGATCCAACTCATACACACTTGATGACTGGTAACTGCAATGTTGCTTAGGCCTTTCGTAAGATGTGTGCATTTTAGAAAAAAATTAAAAAAAAAAATATTCTAAATTCTAATTTTTATGTGCGAGTGTAATCAAATTTTTTTACTTTCTCCCCCTACAGTCTACATAGTACATACATGGAGAAAGTATTGTTTTTGTACAAGTTTTTGAGTTTGAGTGGAAATATCCGTTTTGAGTACCCCTGAACCTAAAAACGTGGTTTTCAAAGTGATGTATGTGTGTTTGTATTAAAGTGTAAGCCTACAGAGCTACAGACTAGACATGTGGTCTGATTTAAATTAAATTTGGTAACTCTAGGCCTATGTGAGTACCCATGGAGATACCCATAGTATCACCAGATATTTTTCATTTTAAAAATTGTAATTGTTTAAGGCGATTTACCCATAAAACCCCATACAATAATGAAAAAAATTGGTTTTTGAACAAAAAAACGGCTTAAACAATTTAGTATATTATGGTCCTTTTAACAGTAATTAAATGGTATAACCCCATATGCTGTAAAAAAAAGTGAGTACAATTTTTGTGCTTTTCTCCATAAAATATCGGTACCAGGAGACCGTTTATTAGGATTGTAAAAGCGATATAAAGGACTCACTTTTTTTTCAACTAATTTTGGTTTTTACTATTAAGTTCCAGTGGAATTTTAATTTATTATGAATACAGCTCTCAAAGTTATGTAAATTATAAAAAAAGAGTAAATACAAATTGTAAAATCCACCCTTAAATCAGAGTAAGGAGCTCGTTCGCTGCGCTCACTTGCCTTCAGGTTAGCTCGTTCGCTACGCTAACTCGCCTCCAGGATGAAGTTCGTTCGCTACGCTCACTCACCTTTTGGTTGCAAATTAGCTGTTGTCATAAATGTAAAAGAAATAATAGTGCTGCACCCTGTTGGTAATCCTTGTAACTTTAATGCTATTGAACATCATAGAACAGAACCAACTTGTTTAATTGAAACAGCTGTTAAGATTCAATAATTCCATTTCTCATAAGGTTAACATGGGAAACTCCAGAGCCACTGGGGCGGAGCCCGAAAGGATTTTTGAAATAAGAATATGCCTATATGTTAATCGGGAATGTGAGCTATCATCATGCCAAATTTCAGCCCAATCCGACCAGTATTTTTCGAGTTTACTTTTCCCATACACACATACAGCAACCACCTCTTTTTTATAATAGTATAGATAAAAAAAGAGTAAATACAAATTGTAAAATCTACCCTTAAATCAGAGTAAAACATTGAGTTGCCGCCAGTGCACTGAAATGGCACCAACACAAAACACACATCACTCATCACTACTGACTTGCTCTATTTTTCCATATATTATTGAGTAATCTTCAATTTTATCTGTGCAACAAATAGTTACAACTGATGTTTATCACTTTGTACTGTACAGGGTGGCCGAAAAGTCCCTTTACACTAAAGATAAAATTAAATTGGTGTTCTACGGTGGTGGGGTAAAGGAGAATGAGGCTTGATTCTCTTCTCCCACCGTTTCTTTACTACTTACGTACGAATATATTTACAGATTAGTCGAATGTTTATTAAGCCTACAACAGTGAACTACGTACTGCAATATTGGTTAACGTGACTTTTTGGCCACCCTGTATGTTATAATTTGCTAGTATACTGTGGATGGTGTTACAAGTCTTTTGTTTACTTTTTACTTAATTGTTATTTTGTTCAACCAACATAGGCCTGATTACTTTGCAACCCATAAGGCCAATGTGAAATTTTTAAGTTTTCAAATGAGTTGTGTAGCGAAATATGAATTTTCGAATCACGTTTTTAAGGCTATAAGTCCATAATTAAAAAATTTGGTCAAAATCCTTCCCCTGGATTTCGAGATATATATTACCGACAGACAGACAGACAAACAGACTTTGCTCGGTATCTGATATAGGCTCGTATTAGAGTACCTATAGGATAGTTACTAACACAGCCTGCTTATTATGAGGGTTGTTGACAAGCTAATACCGGTAGGAAAAAGTATTTGTCAAATTGCTGATACAGTAGAACCTCGCTAATCTGTCACCTTCGGTACCGGGAGCATGGTCAGAACAGCAAAAAGGTCGGATTATCAGAGGAACGCGTTTATTGACATAAAAACATAGTAGAACTGTATTTTGAACATGAAATATTGCACTAAAACTCATAAACAACGGCTAATACTGTATAAAAGGACTTTATTGTGATAATTTACATATTACATCATCAAAATACAATCAGTAGGCTATTTCACAATCATGATAATATGCCAAATCATTAACCTTGGTTCAGTATTAAAAACTTTAACGTTTAAAATCACAGCTTTCTCAAACTTTTACTCAAAGAAACACTGTACAGCTAAATAAGTAACAGTGAACGTTATACATAAAAACGTAATGAAACTACAGTTTAAGCTACAGTACTGTACAACAAAAACATTTCTACATTGACTCATAGGCCTATAAAATTCCTAGCATGCGTTGTTAAATAAAAACAAAAGCGATACTAACTCATACCTGAACAACTTTAAGCATACTACAGTACTGTACTGTATGAAATTTATGTAGCCTAATGTACAGTATACCTGTACTACTGTATTAATTTCGATTGATGTAGATTTTTGTGGGCTTCACTCACCTTTATTTTTGTTTGTGATGTCCGGGACTCGTCAAAACACATAAACACACATATATACAACACAAAATCGTCCACGGCATCAAGGTCCGACGTTTCGTGGAACTCAAAACAACGTTCCGCTTCTTCAGGGTATTAAAAAACTATTTTTAGCCCGCACGCGGGTCGAACGCCTAACCACGACTGCCGGATCAGCTGAGCTTGGAGGACGACGGGCGGGGGCGGGGGTAGGTGCATTGTCCATTGTTGATAAGCCATTCACGCTCCTGGCCTTATCTCGTAGTTGTTCTAGTTCGTTTTTAACAATGTTTAAGTACACCGTACTGACATCCACCGATGGTCGTGAGAGTGGCTCGTCTTCTATTGCCATGAAAAGCGACTCTGCCGTATTTCGTTTCCTCCAATCAGACTCCTTGTATAGAATTGCAGACGAACCCCAATCAACAATATGATTCGTTTCTACAACGTGTTCACATATCTTAGAGCCATACTTATCCTTGTTTTTGACTTTTTTTATGTGTTCATTTATTCGAACTTTAACTGGTCTAGAAGTTTGGCCCACATAATTTCTGCCACAAGAACACGGGATTTTGTAGACAATGTCTTTTGTATTTTGTTGCTTACTCCAACTCGTGTTTTGACGAGTCCCGGACATCACAAACAAAAATAAAGGTGAGTGAAGCCCACAAAAATCTACATCAATAATAACACCTCGCCTAAAAGCATGTCGTTCAAAAACAGAATTGTATACCAGTATGGGCCTGAGACTTCTGACATGTTAAAAGATTTAGAAAAAACTTTGAAAAAGAACGCACTTAACAGCAACCATTTGACTTTCTTAATAAAATGTAGAAATGCAGATATTATCCCGAAAGGCATGAGATTAAAAGCTCCCATGAAAGATAGGTACTCTGATAAAATTACCAAAGATGCCGGTCTTAAACTATTAAAAAATAGAATAAACCAAATCAGACATGCAAAATTTATCAATGACTTGAAAGTTCAAAACTTAGTAGCCAGGTTAAAAGAAAGCATGAGTGGAGATGATTTAGATCCAATTTTAAACACATTCAATTCTAAAGCTAAGAGTATTTTTAATGCCAAAAGAAATAGTTTGAAGGACAAATTCAATAGATTATTTCGATTCCATCACTGCAATCTTACAGGCAGTGGAACATGTCACGACAGAGCTTTCGGAACACCTGACCTAGCCACTGATAAGCTAGTTATCAACCTGTCCGATAGAGCATTGGACGAGTCAGAGAAACAGGTTCTGAGTAAAGGTCTAAACTTTGGCATTGCTCCATCTAGAGTGCCAAATGTAAACATTGTGACGTCGTTGGAACCTGCAGCCACATTTTTACCTGATCAAGTTAAACACTCATATACATGTGACATAGTTAACTCACTAAAACACTCTGTAAATATAAAACCCAATTTATCAAAAAGTGAAAATGCTGCTTTGAAGAAGCTTAAGAATGATGAAAATGTCGTTATACTGCCTTCAGATAAAGGTGGTGCAGTAGTTTTATTAAACAAAAACGAATACATGAGCAAAATAGCAGACATAATCAATGGTGGGCAGTATAAAGAACTTGATCGTGACCCGACAAATCTAGTTCAAAATAAAATAAAAAAAGAATTAGCAAAAATAAAAAGTTATGTTACTGACCGAACTTTTTTCAAACTGAGCCCACAGTTCAGTAAAGCTCCGCATTTATATGGACTTCCAAAGATACATAAACCTGGCATCCCCCTAAGACCGATAGTTAGTACAATAGACTCACCATACTACCAACTTTCAAAATTTATTTTGCCCTTACTTACACCTTATTTTGGCCAATCTGACAGTTTTGTGAAAGATTCGAAGGATTTTGTTAACAAAATACACCATTTTAAACCTAGCAATAGTACTATATTGGTTAGCTTTGATGTAACCAACTTGTTTCCTAACGTTCCCATTGAACCATGCCTGGCGATAGTACGTGAAAAACTTGAAAATGACCTGATGCTGGAAGATAGAACCAAAATTCCTGTGTCTAATATAATGGAACTGTTGACAGTCTGCGTTAGGTCAAACTACTTTCTAGTAGAGAATAAATATTATGAACAAACTACAGGAATGGCAATGGGCGGCGTTTTAAGCCCGATCCTATCTAATATTTTCATGGAAAAGTTTGAACAGGACGCAATTGAATCATTTGAAACTAAGCCTAGAGTCTGGTTACGGTATGTTGATGATGTTTTCTGTATTTGGGAAGATTCAATGTCAGAACTATTAAAATTTAAAGAACACCTTAACAGTCAGGTAGAGTCCATACAATTTACTATTGAACTGGAAAAAGATGATAAATTACCGTTTTTAGACGTATTGGTCCAGAAACAGTCACAAGGTTGGATCACTAGTGTGTTCAGGAAACCTACTGCTACAGGCCAATACCTCAACTTTGCCTCCAATCACCCCACACACGTTAAGACAGGTCTAGCCATTGGTTTGATTAAACGGGCCGAATCCATCTGTAGTACTGAGGAAATTTTTAAAACAGAGCTGGAAAACATAAAAACACATCTCCAAAACTGTGGATACCCTCCCTTCGTTTTTGCTAAGGCCTTAAAAAGCTTAAATAAGGTAAACATTCCAGAAGACCCTAGCACCAAGATAAAACCCCTGACCACTGTATGTATTCCATACGTTAAAAATGTTTCTGAAAAATTGAGACGGGTGAATTCCAAATACAATATAAGAACTGTCTTCAAAAATAAATATACTATCCGTAGTCGTGTCACAAAACTAAAACCCGTTAATGAGCAACAAAATACAAAAGACATTGTCTACAAAATCCCGTGTTCTTGTGGCAGAAATTATGTGGGCCAAACTTCAAAGTTCGAATAAATGAACACATAAAAAAAGTCAAAAACAAGGATAAGTATGGCTCTAAGATATGTGAACACGTTGTAGAAACGAATCATATTGTTGATTGGGGTTCGTCTGCAATTCTATACAAGGAGTCTGATTGGAGGAAACGAAATACGGCAGAGTCGCTTTTCATGGCAATAGAAGACGAGCCACTCTCACGACCATCGGTGGATGTCAGTACGGTGTACTTAAACATTGTTAAAAACGAACTAGAACAACTACGAGATAAGGCCAGGAGCGTGAATGGCTTATCAACAATGGACAATGCACCTACCCCCGCCCCCGCCCGTCCTCCTCCAAGCTCAGCTGATCCGGCAGTCGTGGTTAGGCGTTCGACCCGCGTGCGGGCTAAAAATAGTTTTTTAATACCCTGAAGAAGCGGAACGTTGTTTTGAGTTCCGCGAAACGTCGGACCTTGATGCCGTGGACGATTTTGTGTTGTATATATGTGTGTTTATGTGTTTTGACGAGTCCCGGACATCACAAACAAAAATAAAGGTGAGTGAAGCCCACAAAAATCTACATCAATAATAACACCTCGCCTAAAAGCATGTCGTTCAAAAACAGAATTGTATTAATTTCAAATTAAGCGGAAAATAACTACACATAACTTAATGAAACGGAACACAAACTTAATGTTCTTCGGCAGGTCGAAAAAAGTCTGTTATGCTCTTTTGCTTAGCACACGACAATCTTGATTTGGCTGTGACGTTCCTCAATTTTCTTAACCACAAAATGTCCATTGGTGTAGACGTTGAACTTTCTTCAATGTACCGAAGCGCTAGATTAAATGCATTCTTAGCTTCTGCGTGTGATGTGGGTTCATTGTCTTCATCAACGTCATCATCTTTCTCGTTGTCATCTGTTTCAGTCACAGTTTCAATTATTTGTTCATCACTCAATTCCTCTTCTGTTGTGCAATCAACGTCAGCTGTAACCATCCATTCACATACATCATTGGGCTCAACTTCCGGTTGTAAAGTTTGCAGATCCCTCACAATCGCTGGTGTGTCTACATCTTCTTCTTCATCACTCGTGTCAGGTGCAGCTTCTTCTTGGATTTCACCAATAATTGTTCCTGGTTCTATTTCATTTTCATTGGTTCCATTCATTTTTGGCCACAATTTGCGCCAGGATTTCTCAAGTGTAGAGGATGGCATTATTTCCCAAGCATAGGCAACTGCGTCGATAACATCTGTTATATTGATTGTTTTTTCTGTCCTTTCTAAAATCGATCCAATGTATTTTCAGCGGTATCGTCTCTTTAGCCACTCTATTACTCCCTGGTCCATTGGTTGGATTAGAAAGGTTACATTCGCAGGAAGAAATAAAGCTCTTATTTCTCCTTTTTTGTTCTTCTTCAGAGGGGTGAGATGTAATATTGTCAAGTACTAGTATGGCTTGTTAAGGGAGGTTTTTTCCTTCAAGTGTTTTGTTACGGAAGGGACGAACTGATCAAAAAACCAATCTCTAAAAGAGAGTGATTGTTATTCTGTCTTTGGTGAGTTTAGCACCTTGTACAGATGCATTTTTGTGCAGCAAGAGTTGTTTTGGGAAGCATCTTATAGTTCAAACCAGATTTGTCAATATTGTATTCTTGATCAGGTGTCAAATTATGTTGTTTAACTACGTTTTCAAACTTAGGAATGAGTTCATTAGAAGCTGTTTCATCAGCAGACAGTTTCTCGCCAGAAATGATTACGTTACAAATCCCATATCGTTTCTTCAACACCAATGATGTAACCAACCTTCACTTGCTGTAAACTTTTCATTGTCATTGTCCTCTCCCATTTTGTTATGCAAAACTAGTGCTTTTTCTTTGATTATAGGTCCAGATAATGAAGTTCCTTTCCTTCTCTCCTGTTCAAACCGTACCCACAAAGCACTCCAGTCCTTAATTTTTGTTATGCCAACTCCTATCTCACTTGCAATTTTTTGAACAATCTCACCTTTGTCTAATCAAGTACTTTCAGCTTCTCCACTAATGAGAGCCTGATGTGTTTACGTTTTTTTAGTAATGTAGTTTAACACATTACTGTATACAGTAAATAAATAAACAATAACACAAACCACAAAAACGCAGATAGGGTACACACACGGATCAAGTTTACTGTAGCACAATTTATCAGACGTACAGTACTGAACCAAAAGTCCACAGCCTACTGACTTACATTGCCAGTGATGAGTCACCGACAAGCATCAACTTGAACGGAGCGACGACCGGATACGTAAACAAAACGCCGATAAGGATCGGTCTAAGCAAGGAGGAATCCTAGCCAAGGTCTGACTAGCGAAAGGCTATTGTGTCGGCGGCATGGTCGGAACAAGCGAGGAGACGGACCATCCGCGGTCGGATTAGCGAGGTTCTACTGTACCTAATGTTTATTTTAATCATGTCTTAACATAGATAAGGTTTTGACTAGGAATATTTGTTAGTTATTGTTTACCAAAATTGAAAATTGTTTTTAATTTTTTTATCATTTTCGAAAATGGTTTAGAGTCCCTAAATAAAGAAACACTAGGAGGCTTTAATTAAGTCAAATACAGAGCAAACCATTCACTACACTCATTTACTTCACAAAAACTAACACTCACGTCGACAAAAGCAAAAATAAGTAGGCCTATTGAGGAGTTCACTTGGATACATTAGCTCAGACCCTGTTTACCTCCTTTGTTCATGGCACCTTATATAACTTAGTAGGTATATAAGTTAGTTTAATCCTCTTTCTAAGAATTTGGCTACATTACATCCCAATAAATAAGAGTGGTTTAATAAAATATAAGACTGCATGCGTTAGTCTAGATAGGTTGTAAACAGTTCAAATTTTCATGTTTGTAGTATAAAGTCTACTTACAACTGTCATCCATCTTATTATTTTTTTCGATAATACTGTGTACTCTTCAACTAGTTCTGCAATGTAGTATAAGCCAGCAGCTGGAAAATGTAATTTAAGTTAATAGTAATGAGTAGACTTCTAACATTAACGTAAACTATTGAGTAGACCTATCTTACAATAAATGTTAACTATATGTGTATTGAATGGTTCATGCAGTGGTGTAGCTGAATTTTAGTGTCAAACATGGACCCAGTTACCTTTTGTTTATGGGCTATAAAAATATTTATGAAGTTACAGGTTTAGATTAACATCCACAGTCAAAAACGGAACAAACATCACTGACGTTATACAGACCTTCCAACTCTCCCGCATTCTGATGTCCACTCCCGCTTTCAGTAGAAATCTCACGCATATCTTATAAGTTACTATACAAATTTTACATACACAATAGGGAATTTTTCATCACGTTAACGTTAGGATGGTAGTTCTGCATCCGAGTCCGTCTGGGCGGGACTGTCATCTCATTCGTCTGTCGTTCTGTCACGTAAACATAACCTTAAACGTTGAATTCAGGCGCAAAATAGCCAAGTATGTAGTATGTTAGTTTTTATTTAAGTTTTATTTTGTCGGTTAAGAAGTAGGCTTAGAGTAGAGTAGGCCTAGTAGGTGTGTGATGGAGAGTGATTTGGATGAAACTGGAACTAAAGGTAAAGCAACTTTTATAGTGGGTCTTTCAAAGGGCCTACAAAACAAGATATATAAATGAATGGCCCTTTATTAGATCGGCACCCAGGTAAGTTAAAGACAGTTTTTTTACCTGCACAGTATGCCGAAAAGAGGTAAACTGTGCTCACCAGGCCAAAATGATGTAGTTTTATTTCACTTTCATAGTGTGCTTCAAATTTGCTATTTCCAATAACTTTTGAACGTTTTTGGGTACTTTCCTGTTAAAGGGAACATTCATTATTATCAATAATTTTTTTCAATACATCAATATTTTATTTTTTTATTCTATATATTGATATTAACAAGTTGAAACTTATCAGCTGACAACTACAATAAATAAATATTGTTCAGTATCAACAAACAATAAAAAAAATTTATATTAAAACTAGCTGACCCGGCGAACTTCGTATCGCCTAAGTTATAGGTTTCCCCTAAGACAGACCGACCCGGCAGACGTTGTCTTGCCTTTGACTATTTATAATTTAAGTACCGTTACGTTTAATTTTCAAGATGATCTCGTTCGCATCGCTCAATCACGTCCTGGTTGAAGTTCGTTCGCTACGCTCACTCACCTTTGGGTTGGAGCTCGTTCGCTACGCTCACTCACCTTTAGGTTGGAGCTCGTTCGCTGCGCTCACTTGCCTTCAGGTTAGCTCGTTCGCTACGCTAACTCACCTCCAGGTTGAAGTTCGTTCGCTACGCTCACTCACCTTTAGGTTGGAGCTCGTTCGCTGCGCTCACTTGCCTTCAGGTTAGCTCGTTCGCTACGCTAACTCGCCTCCAGGTTGAAGTTTGTTCGCTACGCTCACTCACCTTTTGGTTGCAAATTAGCTGTTGTCATAAATGTAAAAGAAATAATAGTGCTGCACCCTGTTGGTAATCCTTGTAACTTTAATGCTATTGAACATCATAGAACAGAACCAACTTGTTTAATTGAAACAGCTGTTAAGATTCATTAATTCCATTTCTCATAAGGTTAACATGGGAAACTCCAGAGCCACTGGGGCGGAGCCCTTTTAAGAATTTCGAAACGGGAAATAGTTTACGTCCGATTCGCATACCTACAGAATTTACACACCAAATTTCATAACGATCGGTGAAGTCGTTCCGGAGTAGTTTGCAGACAAACACTGTGACACGAGAATTTTATATATTAGATGAAACTGTTCTAAGCTAACTTAAACTAACCAAACTTGCTATAAAATTTCAAAATTCTGTTTGATAGCCTATTCCCCATGTGCCTTTTCTGTTATCAAACGGAATTTCGAAGGTAACTTAGCACATCAAGTTTATTTATTTAGTTATGTTACGTTAGTTTAGAATACCTAGTTTCATTTCTTAGTCCAATCCTAAGCTATTATTTTTGCCTGAGCAAGCTTACTTAGTTCTTAATCCTATTCTCTAATACGAGCTCTAACTCGATAACTTGGTTATTGTATAACTTAGACATATTTGCTATGTCTGTTTGTAATTTAAATGCGTTTAAAGATATTTAAACAGATGGAATATGGATTGTAAAGGAAAAAAAAATATCTATATACCTAAAAGAAATCATCGATAATAATAAACGTTCCCCTTAACAGGAAAGTACCCGGTTTTGGATGATGTGAAATGGAAAATATTATTAGCCTATTTAAAACTCTATTTATTGTTAGTAAAAATGGTTAACAACCCGTTTTTCAGGCAAATTTTCAAAAGTTTTCTGGGGGGGGGAACGCCTAGACCCCCTTTTAGGCTGGGGTTAAATTCCTCCCAGGTTGACAGGTCTGTCTGTGTTATTAAATTTAACCCTCCGAGTGTCCCTTGTTTTGGCTATAAAGTCTGCCTATTTTTTGCTAATTTGCAAGGTTTTATTAAAACGGATCTGAGAAGCTTGAAAACAATGTTAATTATACTGTTCTATATACCATTTTGTTTGGAATATCAAAACATAAAATAATTAAATAAATTTGTTTGGCTTCATTATTACATAAAACATAAGGAACATTTGTTTCAAAAAAATTTTTTTGGTAAAAAAAATATTTTGGAAAAATAAAAAAAAAATAAGTTTGCGCTCAATGAAATTGTATAAATTATAGGCCTATAAGTATAAATATTTGAAAATAGCCACTTTGTTCTAAATTTTATGAGGATTACAAATATATAATAATATAAGGAAGTAGATTTGCAAATAAATAAGTTATGGGCAAAAAACAGATTTCAGTACATAGCGTTTAGCTAAGAATGCATAGCCTAACCATAGCTAGGAATCTGGCTGATAATTTACATCAATATCACTACCTACTTCTTCAGGATCATCAACCAGCCCTTCAAATCTTCAAGGCACTCAAATTTTCTTATAATGCACCACGTATATCACTACTTTTGATTTTTAACACTAAAACAATGATAAATGTAATAAAACACATCAGTCATCGGTCCGAGGTTAACCAAGCTGTTTACAAATACGCACGTCAGCTGTCTGCTACAATATTTTCGGAACTAAAATGAAAAGTGCTTAGAGACAGACCTCCGGAGAAAGCTCTGAATCTGTCAAATAAAACGATACTTAACTTAACTCGATCCAGTTCAATCCGATTTTGTCAGTCATAGAGCCTTCGCCGTAAAAAGTGTTTGTGAGTCGACGTATCGACAAATAACACTCGGAGGGTTAATGAGTCAATTTAGGCTATAATAGACAAAAATAGGGGTAGGCCTACAGTTCATTAACTGCTAATATAGATTGAAACTAAGTTTATCGAATTGAAAATATTGTTTCCAATTTCATGATGGGTTAGCCTCTGGATCGTAAATTGCAATATAAAAATGGTTTATTTTACCTTTTTGCGTCGAACGATCCGTGTGTAGTTAGTACAACTACAGCTGTTTCATACCACTAGGGCACATCATCAGGTTGTTGGCAGAACGTTAGATAAAACAGCATTCATTCATAGATGAACTTGTCGAAATAAATATGTCTATATACACATAATACACGAAAAACATTTAAAAAACACTAATTTACGAACTTGGCCAAGTAACGAACACACGAGACAGGCGCCGATGGATGTTGCGTCATGACTGCTGTCGTGTGTCCAAGCATCAGCTGTTACCCCTCCCCCCCAACTCCTTTACAGGACCAGTTTTGTTTTGGTTTAAATGAATGGCAGTATTGTAGATGATATTAGATCTGAATGAAATTTGTTCGTTCAATATATGGTCGGTCAATATAAAATTGCTCAAAAACTTGACAAAATAATTAGGAAAGAGACCGCCTTAGATAACGACCATAGTGTTAAGAACACAGTTGACGTAGTAAACCAACTCTGTAAAATTAAACTAAAGGGTTCTTATACTTTAGCCTCATTTGACGTTGTGAATTTATTCACAAACGTACCCATTGATGAAACCATCGACATACTTGAATCTAATCTAGATAAAAACTCCTCCTTATCAACCGAGGCTAAAAATGAGTTAGTTAATCTCACTAAAATAGTCCTCAAACAAAACTATTTCACGTTTGAAAATAAATACTACACACAAAACGAAGGTTTAGCTATGGGCTCTCCACTTTCAAGCGTCCTTTCAGAATTGTTTCTAAACAATATAGAAAATAAATTTTTATGGTCAGATTCCAACAAACAAAAAGATAAAATAGTTCACTACAGCCGATATGTGGACGACACATTAATCTTATTCAATGGTAATGAAAGGCAGATAAAGATACTTGGAAATTATTTGAACAATGTCCACCATAAACTAAAATTCACCCTCGAAACCGAAGCTAACAAATCAATTAATTTCTTAGACGTAACAATAACAAGAACTGATCACATCATGGAATTCAAAATCTACAGAAAACCAACAACAACTGACCAGACCATCCATTCGTCATCACACCATCCTTTCAACCACAAGACAGCTGCTTACAATAGTTTCGTTCACAGACTATTATCCATACCCCTTACCACAGAAAACTACAACAATGAAATAAACATTTTGAAGCACATTGCCGTTGCCAATGGATATGAAAGCTCTCTCATTGATAAACTTATCAGAAAACAAAAAAATAAAACAAAAGAGATTCTAGAACCCAGAAACAAAAAGTATGTATGTGCTGAATTTGGAGTAGTACTCAATAACACCTTGATAAAAGAAATGGCAAAGAACGATGTACACGTTGCATACAAAACATCTAACAAATTATCTACTATACTTAAAGAAAAAAATAAAACACATTCTGATAAAGTAAACAGCACAGGTATTTACAAAATGACATGTAACGATTGCCCGAGCTTTTACATCGGCCAAACTGCTCGCTCTTTCGCTACTAGGTTTAAAGAACACCTACCCAAAAAGAACTCGAAATCAGCATTCGCCAACCACATAATTAACGCAAACCACAACTACACGGACATACATAGTAATCTAGAAATTATGCATTTATGTACTAAAGGCAGATACATGGACACAATAGAAAAGTTCGGAATATACAAGGCATCCAAAGAACACCCCGACCATATATTGAACGAACAAATTTCATTCAGATCTAATATCATCTACAATACTGCCATTCATTTAAACCAAAACAAAACTGGTCCTGATAAAGGAGTTGGGGGGGAGGGGTAACAGCTGATGCTTGGACACACGACAGCAGTCATGACGCAACATCCATCGGCGCCTGTCTCGTGTGTTCGTTACTTGGCCAAGTTCGTAAATTCGTGTTTTTTAAATGTTTTTCGTGTATTATGTGTATATAGACATATTTATTTCGACAAGTTCATCTATGAATGAATGCTGTTTTATCTAACGTTCTGCCAACAACCTGATGATGTACCCTAGTGGTATGAAACAGCTGTAGTTGTACTAACTACACACGGATCGTTCGACGCAAAAAGGTAAAATAAACCATTTTTATATTGAAAATATTGATTAGGTATCTAATAATATATTTTTAATTAACTTATAAAATGAAACTATCATAACCTAACCTAACAAACCAAACTTGCTGAAGTTAGTGAATAAATCACATGAAGGATTGATAGTTTTAATTGATATAAGCATAGCCCAGTAAAGAAACTGTACCCAAGAATAGAGCTTGGGCTATTTATGTCTGTTTGATTTAGGAGAAATGCGAGATAATAAAAAAATAGCATTAGCCTATTCTTGTAGTAGTGGGGAGGGGAGTGTAAGGGGCCCGAGTTCTGAATTGAATAGGGACCCGGGCTTTCTCAAGTAAAAACTTATATTGCCTAGACGTAGGCAAAGCTACAGAATTAATAACTTAATCAGCATGGTCATCTGGTTGAGCGTAAGAGCAAGTGGTTAAATAAGCTATAAAATAAGCAAGTGTATTATTCGTATTCTAAAAAACTTACTAACAAGTTAGGCTGCACTTTAGTTTCCTACATTTACTCACATAAGTTACCGCAGTTTGGTTAAGGCAAAGACAAAAAGAATGAAATATAGACCGTCAGCTGTGCTGTGGTTACTATAAGTTCTGGCGCATACCCCTGGGAGCGCCATGTAGTTAGGGTGTATGCACTATGTAACTACAAGGCGCTCCTAGTGGTGTGCGCCAGAACCTATTGTAACCATGGTAACCGCAGCACAGCTGAAAGTCTATATTTAATTCTTTTTGTCTATCGTTAAGGTTAGGTTTGGTTTAGAACCTAGAACAGTTTCATTTTATAATCAGCTGGTAGTTTATGTATAATAGTAAATGTAGGAACTAAAGTGCAACCACAAGTACAAAATTTTTCTCCTAAATTTTAGGATAAAAATTGTAACCTCTGAATCAGCATAAAAACATAACCTAAACTTACCCAAAGATACAGTTATAAAGGAAATTTGCACAAGAAGAGCTATCCAACTAAGAAGATAAAGAAACCACATCTTGATTAATGAATTAGCCTACTTTGCTTTAAAATGATAATATTATAGCTTGATCAGCAGAAATGTTCGTTTACATAATATGATGTACGGTACGAAAACACTGGTTCATAGAAGTTCAAACTATTTTACTATTATTATCTTAGTTTCTGTTTGGTTTTGGACATGACATCACTTCAATATTCCATCAATACATCACTGTACAGTATACAAAACACATGATTTGACTTGACTGACTAGACTTTTTGGCAAGGCAATCTTGCTTGACTTGACAGTTGGGGTTGGGGTTGACATCAGACATCAAACACCTGGTCAGTGGTCACTTCTTCTCTCTTCTCTTCTCTAGTCTACTTCTACTAAAATCGGTAAAATCCAATCCGATTCCAATATCAATATTATATTTTCCCTACCATCCTCCGGCGACACCGGCCGGCCTTTTCATTACTCCATGCAATTCAACTATTAAGTTGACTATTACCGTTGATTATATTGTACATATCCAAGGAGTTTGATAGTCAATAATTTTACTAAACATTATAATAAACTTCTAACCCATATTCGTTTAGTCTTTGACTTTGGAGCTCGTGACTGTTCGAACTCATTTAGTGTATTTACAAACGGCGATACACCAATACAAAAAAATATTGCCTCCATTAAAATATCAGAAGTCAGAATACGAGTCTAGGTCAACATTTTATCTCTTTGCTCACATGCACTATTGATCGAACCAACTACGTTTGAACATTTGGCACAAACTTTGGATGGCCATCGATAAAACAAACTGTGCTCCCTTAATATATTTCTCATCCTTATGGAGCAGATGAAGCTAGTTGTATTGTTAGTTCTGTCTTGAGCCACGGCCGCCTTTAACTACAGGCCGCGGCCTGGTAGAATTGGCAACGTCGCAAGTGGTGTTGTTCAGTGACAAACGTCCCATAAGATAACATGACAGACAGTTGACATCAGCTCATTAATTCGCACTTTATTGATTTAAATTTAAGAACATAAATTTATTAAAATATTGAAAATAAAACATACATAATTAAAAACCTAAACAATATGAATTAAAATCTTTATCTGTACATTTTTAAGCGGAGTCAATATTGTCACAGTCCAGTAGCCAATCTTTCGTAAATACACAAATACCAGCTGCTTCCAAACAGAAACAGCTGTTGCTGTTACAACACCATCACTTGCGACGTTGCCAGTTCGAAGGCCGTGGCCTGGAGTTAAAGGCGGCCGTGCTTGAGCACTATATAGAGGTTGTGTTTTTTTTTATTTGTTTCTTGTTATTTCAGTCATTTAAAGCTTATAGTTATTTTTGGGATTTTTATTTGTTTACACTCTTTCTCTTTTTTGCTGAGCTAGAAATGGCTAGAAATACAACTGGAGGTAGGAGGTAGCACTAGAAGGTACACGGCATATTTGCTAGAACATCAACACCCTGTAAAAGGTTGATGTGTTGGTACCAATGTAACAAAATATTTAAGTAGGAGAATCAACCGGATCTTGACTTTATTACAACCCCACAATCCCCTATTTGGCATTTAAGTGCATTTAAAATTTGAATTTTGACAATTTTTTGTTATCATCCATATAATATCAGCCTCCTCTAGCCATGGCGAAACAAAAGAGACAACGTTTTGAGAAACGACCTAAATCTTCAGATAGGTACCTATAAAAAAGCATTCTACAATACAATAAAAAAACATCTACGGTATATTATAACGGAATCCTGCTCTTCAATACTTGGCCGAATCTTGAATCATCAAGGCATTGAGCCAAACGCTATGTAATTAAAGAAAACCTTCGGAAATTACTACGGTATTATCATTCACTATTAGATGTATGATTTTAATAACGGCTTCCGTATCCAGAAGTCTATGCTGACGGGCAGTCATGGGTATGGGTATAATGAGTGCATTTTAATATGTATGAAGTTCTACGTACAAATGTGAATATCAATTTCAATTAGTTAAGATGGGAACGCCACAATGTGCGTATTTTATTTAACCCAAATATGAGTGAAGGATGAGTTTAGGATGAGTGGCGCGATCTTGTAGTCTTGTTAGTGACTGACTAAGGCCGACATGTTCCTTAGACACAGCTGTAAATTAATAGCCCATACAGCTAATGGCAACTAAGGGACCTACAGTTTATAGTGGAATCCGAACCACATTTTTCCTTGTAATTTACGAATTGGTCTAATTATCAGGACAGTACTGCGGATAGTCGTAGTACTCACTAGTGCGGACGTTAATCCACACCAGGGAGCATCGCATCCACAGTGCATCCCTATAAATATCCACAATTCGTGACCTCCTAGTAGCTGGATTACAGGACGACATAAATAAAATTAACATATAAAAGCCGTTATTTAAATCATAGATCCAATAGTGAATGATAACACCGTAGTAATTTCCGAAGGTTTTCTTTAATTACATAGCGTTTGGCTCAATGCCTTGATGATTCGAGATTCGGCCAAGTATTGAAGAGCAGGATTCCGTTATAATATACCGTAGATGTTTTTTTTATTGTATTGTAGAATGCTTTTATAATAGTTTAAGACTACGGTACCGGTAGTATAGGAGTGCATTACCTATGCTGGTTGGATAACAGATGCCAAAAACACCATTAGTTCAAATTTATATATATATATATATATATACATTTATATTCATATATATATATATAGATCTTTAAGGCTGATTTTATTATTTTCTTTGATCTGTACTCAATCATATGTTCTCAAAATTCAACTATTTGTAAACAGTTCATATTTATTTGTTTTGTTCATCTTTACATTTTTAATTCTCTTTGCTTGAAAACGTTTGTATTAAACGAAAATTTGCAATGTTTCATTCATCATAAACTCTATCAAGATCTCCTCAAGAATATATATATATATATATATATATATATCCGTGAACACGATAACTTGAGTAATTTTTGTCCGATTTTGATGACATTTGGTTTGAAGGTGTAAGGCGGGATAAACTTGAATGAGTTCGCGAACCAGCATAATCGGACCATGGGAACGGTGTTTTACGGGGGGGGGGGGGGGGGGTTTATGGGGTAAAAATTGGTTTTTCTAATATTTGACCTTGTGAACACAAAATTTCCCAATTTCTCTCTCGACCTTTTTAAAGAGCTTAAAAAAAATAGTTTAGTATATCAAAGTGTTTTTGTACGGTTCAAAAAATTGTAAATTTTAAATTCCTGTGTTATTCTTATGGAGAATATTGTCAAATGTTGTAGTTTGCTTGTTTATGGATATATTTGATCAAACTTGGTAAATTTATTTATTTTATACTAAGTTATTAATATTTTACTAAAAAACGCACTTTTTACCCTCTCTGTAGCAGCAAACCTATGTACGCATAAAACCTAATGTTAATTAAATACATTTAATTGAAAATCAATTCAGGCAACTGGAAATTTGCTTATTCGGCAGGTTTGCGGGGGTATTTACTCCCATGGGAGTAAAAAGGCCTTTTAATCCTTAGGGACCAAAAAAACTACTTTATACTCACAAAAAATGTGTTAAAAACTGTTTTTTTTCTGTAGTATAAGGAAAAGATAACTTAACATTGATTTGAATTGAAAACATAAATATAAAAAAAAAAAACACTGTAGCACTCTCTGTGAGTAGGATGACTATGAACAAAGGACTGTCTACAGATGGGTTGGTTGGATTTAATTTATTGTATTCATCAGCTGACCATCAGGATTAAAGAAAAAAAACAACAGGACTATCTAAAAAAATAAGCTTTAAAATATATCTTTATCTGTAATATTTGGGAATTCAATCTCAGTCTCTTACTCTATGATCAATTACTTATACAGTTTGTTTAAATGTAAGCAACAATTGTAGATAAAACAGAAATGTAGATAATTAAATTTTCTTTGTCTATAAAACTGGCTTTCGAAGGTGAACATGTTGTCATTAAAGGAACGGATCTTTCATAGTTTTTGGGTCGAGGCTCAGACTTTTTAATAAAATGATCAAACTGTTCCAGTACTTGAGTTACTTCTGCCATCTCAGATGAATCCTGAAAAATAAATTAAATATAGTAGTTTTATATTATTTTATATTGAAGCCCTAGACTTGAAATGTCCCCCTAAATAATTAGACCTATATATGATCAAACTTGTAATATCACAATAGGATTCAAATTATCTTCTATTGCAAAACAAATTAATGCACTAATATGAATTACAAATTATGTTAATTTATCAACTACTTAAAATCCAGCGCCACTTGGCATTTTCTAAAATATGATAAATACAACATTTTACCTAAAATTTTTATTTGTGAGTGCTATATGGTTTGGACCTTGTGTTAATTTCATTTTTGCTCCTATATAAGTATATAACAATTTGTTGGTTGGTGGCTATTGATTCTAAGAATCAAGAATTTGTATTCATCATTTTGCGCTATGTACAATACATACAATACAATAAAGATGCCTAGTTATAAGTTTGTGATTAAATAATTTGGACGCTGTAGCAAAATTTGTTAAGCTTGCAAGTAAAACAGATAAAATTAAAGTTTTTTTTTAAATAGAGGCCCACAAAATTATTACTTTAATAAGTGTTACAGCTTATTCTACATAACATGTTTTTTATAGTTTCTAAATAAATGATTTAACGTAGGTTTATTAAATAGGTATATATTTAGTTAATACAGTTTTCAAGAATGAATTTGTAGCCTCTATGACCAAAACGGATGCCTTTACTAAATGTCTGATGAAGTTTCAAGGTGTGCATCACTCAGATTCATCATGCAAGACTGTTCACATTTAAAAAAGCGTTGGTTACACCGCAACATTACTAGTTTCATATGTATCGGTAATGTACATTTTAACAATATATACTTACCACTGTATCAAAGAGTGTATTGCTGGGTGCAAACATGCTAAAAGTCCGAGATGAAGGACTGTTGTAATGTCCAAATAAATTATTGAGGCCTGTAAACAGAGCCATGATGTCTTCTCTTTTTGCTGGCGTTGTTTTGTCACTGACCATAACCTGCATCATAAAGTACAAAAAATACATTAAAATGTGTTGGACATTAGATATTTAAATAATGGTTTTATTAGTTTTTGGTGCTTTATAGGTGCTCACTGCCCAATTTCATTTTTCATTAACCTTCTAACCACTGTTTTTGATATATAGTCTAACTCTAACTTCCCGAACTCCAATCATTCGGATCACCATTTGTCTGGATCACATCTTAATATGTACCAACTATGTCCATCATGCAGCGAGTATATTGAAGTGTCATATTGAT